TCCTGGAGAGGGTTAAACCAGGCTGCTCCTTGGAGGCAAGGATTCTGGGGCTTCGCGTGACATACTCTGGACATACTATAAGGAGGGACATGTCCTTGGAGAGGGACATCATGCTTGGGAGGGTGAAGGGACGCTACAGGAGAGGAAGACCCTCTATAAGCTGGATTGATTCAGTGACTGGGGTAATGGGGATGAGTGTGTCAGAGGCAGTGCGATTGGCACAGGATAGAGCAGGGTTTAGGGCTGTTGTACACAGGGTCGCTATGAGTTGCAAGCAACTCGACGGCACAAAACAACAACAACAAGGGCTCAATAACCACCAAAGAAAAGTATAATATGTATAAAATCCCATGTCACCTTAACTTCTTCATTCATTATCTTATTTCCACCAACACTAGTCACTGATGTAACAAGCAGGAATAAAAACATATCACCAAACAAATTTTAACTGTCCTTACTTGATACAAGATAGCAGCAGTATACAAGAAATTAAACAGAACCCAAACTTAGCCTGGGCCCATCACAATGACTCTCAGGAGGATCAAACTTCTCCGAAACAGAGAATACTAACACTTGCTCACTGATCTCTGGTCAGAGGAAAGCCAGGTAGTTTTCTCCCTTTCCTTGGATATGTGTATCCAGTATCACAGAAAAGTCATTCAGGCAGAGCCAAGGGTCTTTTCTCCATTCCAATCAGTTGATTTAGCAGCTGCTTCAACACCCTTGTCCCTTTGAGAAAATATACTAACTTAACTCTCATTTCCCTGGTTTGTAGTTTCCAAGGTAAGGCTATTTCAGAAACAAAACTTTGCGTTACAGGTTATAAATTTCAAAATAACTTGGTTACACGAATTAATGTACCAAGAAGAGTACATATTTCATGCTCAAAGAAATTTGAGATAACTTTTTGCTTCCTCAGAAAGCACTACAGGAAAAATATGTCAACATGTTGTATAATTTGTAATCGTCTGATTTTACTTCTCACACTAATAAATGTGTTGCCAAAATTACAGGCACAAGGTATCATCCTGAGGTTTCTATTAATTTGCCCTTTAGCTGTGTAGGCTATTTGTGTAATGAAAGTGTGGCAATTTTTGGCATGATCTCAATCTGTTTGCTAGTAAAATATACTTTACAGCAACAACTACTGGTCCATTCCCTTCCAGAAACAGCCTTCCTCCTCCAGGGAAGAAATATAAGACAGACCATTTTTCTGTACTTAAATTAGGGAAAGTAAATAACTGTGAAAAGTTTTACCTGTTTTAAATTGGAGTCTCTTAAATTGGGAAGGAGGAAATGAATACCAAAGATTGTAAGTTAACATGGAAGCATTTAAAGACAATTGTGGAACCAACCAGCACTGGATGAAGCAGGTTATGTTCTGAGTAGTGGGATTAGGAAGAAGGTGGAGGGGCGTTTCAATATCAATAATTTCAGATTTTCTTGTTTTAGAATTTACAAGCAGTATTTTAGAAATTAATGGCTTATTTTCTTTTTCTTCTTATTGGAACTAGAACAGCGGGTCATGCAATTTCTGTGTGTACAGTAAGTGGCATCTGTTACATTCCCTGAGCGTTGCAACCATTCTCATCTTCCTGTTTGCAATTGTTCCTCTACATTTCACATTGCTTTCACATTTCACATTCACATTTCACATTTTTTTCAATCAGAATGCGTATAATTAAGGACCTCTAGTTGCAAGAAGTAAGAAACTGCGCTGTAGTCCTAACAGCATGCAGTTTGAAGCCCCAGATGCTCTTCCAAAGAAGGATGGGCAATCTCCTCTAGAGCCTGCAATTAACTGCCTCTAAAAACCTGCTGGAGGGTCAGCTGTGAGTTGGCTTTGACTCTATGGTATGCAACAACAACAAGGATGTAATTATCCATATATATTGTATTTCATTTATATACATAGTAGGTTTTGGGTTTTTTGGGGTGTGTGTGTGAGAGAGAGAGAGAGAGAAAGAGATAGACAGATTGATTGATTGATTGATTTTGACTTGTAGCATTTTATAAAGGGAGCGCTGGTGTCCAGTCCACAGGAAGTGGCAGTGCTAATAAGCCAAAGGCAGAGCCTCTCCAATGTCTCCATGCACCAGTGGCTCCTGGAGCAGAAGATAGGCTTCTTTTCTCATGTGATTTACAGCCTTGAAACCCAATGGAGGGGGAGCTATGAGTCAGTTCTGACTTGATGGCAGTAACAATGAAAGGGAGTATGTTTTTAAATTAAACCACCAAGAATCTATAAATAACTCACTGCCATCGAGTGGGAACCAATCCATACCTGGCCCTCCAGTAGGTTTTCAGCAGCTGTAAATCACATGGGAGGAGCCTACCTATCTTTCTCCCGAGGAGCAGCAGGCAGATTTGAACTGCGTGTCTTCGGGTTGGCAGCACAGCTCCTTAACCACTAGATAGCTTATTTCATAGAAAACAGGTGTGTTTTACAGGGTCAATGTTTTACAGGGTCAATGTGCTAATGCCATCAAGTAGAGAAACATGCAGGTAGAGTATCCAAGTAAAAAAGAACACACAATCAAGATTAGATCCCAGGAGAACCAGAGCAGTAGCCAGAACGTCCAGGCAAGCCTTGGTGACTTGGGGCTGCCGGGTGCCTGGCAGCATGGGGTTTCCTGGGGAGAGGCTACTGTTATCCTAACTCAACTGTCTCCAATCTTTCTGTGGCTCAACCGGTTGAGGATAACATTCAGTGGCTGCAGCAGTACCCCTGGAAAGCAGCTTAGACCAGAACCTGTGCGGAGCCCTCCTCTGGCATCTGCTGAACTATGTTTCTTCAAGGAAAGGCTCTTTTGGGGAGCACCTATCACTGCCATAGAGGGAAGACTTCATGAAATTCCAAACTAACCCTTAAACTCTTTTTTTGAGAGCTCATGGGCAGTGCACGGCCCCTAGTGACAGAGTCTCCCAATGTTTCATCAAAAACCGATGTATTACAAGGGAGATCTGGTGGCGTAGTGGCAAGAAGCTGCACTACAATCCTAGAGGTACAGAGTTCGAAAAATCCACCAGGTGAACTGCTGGAGAAGAAAAAATCTCCTCCTTTACCAATCAGATCTGATTTGATGGTAAACACACACACACACACACACACACACATGTGCGCGCACACAAAATAATAATATTAAAAGAAAAATAATTTTAAAAACCCCAGAAACCAAAACCAAATCAATGCATTACAAAATGCCCAACTTCTCCCAGCAAATCTCAATTTTATGACTCAAATGCACTGCCCAAACACCTAAATTCCACTTTCAACAAAGTTCCTAACATAGGGGACACCTGTTCTTAGTAAACCAACCCAGAGTAGAGCACTTTTCATTCATTCATGACGAGTCACACACAGAGACAGACAGACTTGGGGGAGGTGAACATACATGCATCGCCCACTGAGAAAATCAACTCAGGAAGGACTCTGGGAGAAGATGGCATCATAATATAATACCACTACTTTTCTCTTAAAGAACATTTTCTATCATTTAAAATCACAAATTAACATATAATGAATTAATACAAAAGAACTGTGGGTAAATTTAAGCACGTGATGTTGGACACTGAAGAATTCCTTACCTGGAAGTCATCGTAGGGGAAAAGCAGCATTTCCCGTAAGCAATCATTCAAGATCTGAGTCTTCTTCTGAACAATGACATTCTCATAATCAAGAGGCTCAATGAGCTTCGGCTTCGCCTAGAAGAAAGAAAGAAAAATCAGCAAAAATCAGCGTTGTTACAGGTAATTGTGATTTACTAATGAGGTCTAGACAATCAGCTTTTTTATCTTCTAAAATGAGAGTGTAATCTCTCTGCTCTCAAAAGGAAATTATAGTGCATCCACCCAATGGAATACTATGCAGGCCCAGGCCGCAGGATGCTTTGGTAAATGACTACCTCACCTGGGAGGGACTGGCGATCACTACACTAAGTGAACTGACTCGGTCTCATAAAGACAAATACTGTAATGAGACCATGATTGTAGAACGTGTACGAGGATCCAAGGTCAAGGAGGGGGTGCTCAGTCATAGGGTCATACAATCTGATGGGTGCACCGAGGGGTGGGTAAAGGAAAAGGGAAAGATTTGTGTGAAAAACAATGTATACGAACTTTATGAATTCTGTAGGGAAACCAGTATAAAATTAAACAAAAAACAAATCATGCTGAGACATAAAAGGACAAATATTTGTATGATTCCACTTACAGGAAACAGACAAATGCAAAAGAAAGATAACGAGATTTTGCCCCGGGAGAAGATAAAGATTCTTTATGGTATCCTGACCACAGCTATCAGCATGTGTACTGTGTTCCTGAAACACCAGCTCAGGCTATGGATTCATTTCTTTGCACCCTTACCCAGGCTTGTCCCATTCCACCTCTTAGGCTCTGCCCATGGCCTGGCAGTGAAGGCTCGAGTTCCAGAATAGCACCAGTCAACCAAGACCCCAGCAGATGCACCAAAACCAGCAAACCAGCAGGCACCGAGTCAGTTCCCACTCCTGGTGCCCCACCCACAGCCACAAGAACTCACTAGTTCACAAACAGCTCTGTGGAGCTCTGGGTCTCAAAATATCTCCACGTATCCTGAGCTACCAAAATGCTCAAACATGTTGCAGTCCTTAGATAAAGGAAAGTATGAGGATAAAATCTGCCAGAAAAATGTGAACTGAACCCAAACCAGGCACGAAGAAGGATCCATGTCTAACACACACTCAGGAGAAGAAAAAGGGAACGGGCCGTGGGAAAAGGAAGCATAGCCTTGTTTTGGTTATTTTCAAAGTTCGTTTCCTCAGTAAAAGTCTCGCTTTTTTGCTATTTAACGTCTGATTTTAAAATTTTATATGGGTCTAGATACAAAATTCATATGCATTCTGTTTCATTCATGTAGATGGTGTTTCACACATTCCTTCACTTACATTGTGTTTTATAAAATTTTATAAAATTAATCACCATTGATCTGCCCCGTTACCCTATCTTTTCTCTCTCTTCAGTCACCGCCCCTGTGTATATGCATTATTTTCCACATACAGGCGCGGGCTGGGATCTGTTGTGGCTGTTAGGTGCCATACAATCATCTCCAACTCCATCAAGACCTTTCATACAACAAAATGGCATGATGCCAGATCGCGTCATGGTCTCCTAATTTCCAGCCCGCTCAGTCCACTGCTGCAGCTCTCAGGGGATTCACCTCACCCAGGTTCTCTCATAGCCACACTGACCACATTTTACCAAATGCATGTCCTTCCAAAACACTCAAAGCAAGTGAGATGAACAATATTCTGTTGTGGTCCGTAAGGTTGGCATTTACTAATTTCTTCCTAAGTTAGTCTGGGAGCTCCAGGGAAACCTGCCCTCCACGCACACAGTTCCACTGGTCTGAGAGGCACAGCCTCTGGAACTGTGACATCATACAAGTCACCACACTGTAACACTGATGGGATGAAAAGAGCCAGAACAGGCCGGAGATGAAGAAACACACCAACAAACCATGGTATGCCAAGTGCTGAACAGGCTTATGGGACACAGAGATGTGGAATTGATTACTTTCAGTAATATTTTGTATCTCTGTGTATGCATATACCTACACATACATACATATATACATATATATACGTGTGTGTGTGTGTATATATATACACATACATATATAAATAAAATATGTTATTGATAGTACTTGATTCCATTTTATCAACAGTCTCTGCAAGATGGTTTTTGGCATTATAATCATTTGATGTTGTTCGGTGCCTTCTTCAAGCTGACTACAACTCACAGCGATCTTTTAAATAAGAGATCAGAACCTTGGCATCTATGCTGCACCATCCTCACAATCTCTGGGATGTTCGAGCCCATGGTTACAGTCATCTTGTTGAAGGTCTTCCTCTTTCTGACCCTCCGCCTTTCTCACCATAATCTCTCTTTCCAAGGATCTTGAAAATGCTTAACGCATATTAAAACTACAATCTATGCAGTCTCTTTTCATTGTCTCGAAATTGGAACTATCCAACTCAGAGCTGACCATCCAGTTGGAAACCAAGGCTGTGTGAACAGGAGACTGGCCATCTTTCTCCCACTAATTGAGTCCCTGGTGTATTCAAACCATCAGAGAAGTACAGCTTTTACGTTATCAGCACAAGTCTCTACAAACTACACACCTGTACTCCCCTCATATAGTAGAGGAAATAGTTAAAGATTTGATGTTTGGTAACTAAACTGGGAACTACAACAGAGTGTATGTACTTCACGTCCCCCGGAAATGTCTGTCTTCCTTTCTAATACAGCTAGATCATACTTTCCAGCCTCCCTACGGGTAAGTGTGGCCAATGGCAGGTGAATATAAGAGACATAGTAAAGGACAAATGTACATGAAAGGGACAAGAAGATGAAAAACTATAGCCTTCCATATGGATTACATCTCCAGAAAACAAAAATCCTCACCACTGGGCCAATATGCAGCATCATAATAAATGGAAAAAATAAATATTAAAATTATCAACAATTTCATCTCCTTTGGATCTACAATCAACACCCTGGGTACTAGTAGTAAGGAAATCAGGAGACGTACTGCATTCAGAAAGTCCACTGTCAGGGACCTTTCCAAATTACTGAAGGGCACAGTGATATCTGATGGAAGACTATGGTGTGCCTGATTCAGGCCATGGTGTTTTTAATCACTTTAATATGAGAGCTGGACAATGGATAAGCACAGCAGGAAAAAAAAATTATGTCTTTGAGTGGTGGTATTTGAGAAGTCTGAAACTCATGGACGGCCAAAAGAACAAACAGGTATGTTTTGGAGAAGGTGCAGCCAGAGTGCTCCTTGGAGGCAAAGATGACAAAGCTTCATCTCACATATTTTGAGCATGTTATTAGGAGAGACTATTCCTTGGAGAAGGACATCATCCTTGGAAAGGTGGAGGTTAGCAAAGGAGAGAATGACCCTTCACTGTATGGACTGAAGAAATGTATGTATCAGAGATGGTAAGGATACCACAAAAGGATAAATACTGTCTGATCTCCCAAGCAGAAAGACACACACCCACTGCAGTTGAGTTGGTGGGGATTTATAACGACCTTGCAGAAAAGAGAACTGCTGTGCATTTCCAAAACTCAAACTCTCTAGAAGCTGTCGGCCGTATTTCTCTCCTACAGAGTGGCTGGTGGGTCTCAAACTGCCAACCTTCCATTTTATAGCTGAGCACTTAACCACTGATGCCACCATGGCCCTTTTGTATGCTCTGACTCATATCCAGTACCTAGAATGGCAAACCCACCAACCAAAACACCAGCTGGCATGTTGAGGCTCATGGCTTCACTGAGTTTCAAAGGCAGCAAAGCTTTATGGGATTGTAATGCTCAGCCTTCTCAAGCAGCAGGGAGCAGGTCCGACAAACTGCCCATGTCGTAAGTTCCCGACCTGTAACACACTACTCTGCCAAAGAGCAGTTCTATTAGTGGTGACCAGCGGCAGCTGTGAAAGGGAAGAGGTTGGACTGGTCAAGAAACATGGAGCTTTCATTTATGGTGATGCAAAATTTGGCATTATTGGTGACAGTACACAACATAATGAGTGTGTGTAATAAAAACCCTCGATGAGATGGATCAATTCTGTGAGTGGAGTGGTGGGAATGAATATGTTTGAGACAGTGAGGTTGGCACAGGATAGAACGGCGTTTAGGGCTCTTGTACATAGGGTCGCTATGAGTCACAAATGACTCAATGGCGCATAACAACAACAACAACAAATTGAACACGTGGAAAACACCAGACGAGCACATGCATTACGTATTATCTTTACAACAATAATATTTTAAAAAGATGACAAAAGGGAAAAATAGTTAAAAAAGCACCTTAAAGGTATGCAGCAAGTAATTAACTTATAAAAATATGGTCTTTAGTTCACTTTTAAAAATTTGTAATTATTGTTGTAGTTGCTTTTAAATTCCAATTCACTTTCATGACTACCTTTATATTTGTTATTTTCTCTTCTTTTTCTTAAAGAAGACCCATGAAGTTGCTTAAGTTTTATGATCCTAAAATCTAGATTTCAACAGGGCCTCACAATATGGCAGTGGTTAGAAAAGGCGAGTGGCGTACTCACGTGGGTCTGCAGTTACACCTGGCCTGGCTCATAAGAGGGAGGCACATAAGAAATGTAGCAGCTACTACTGCTGCTGGGAGCTATGGCAGACTAGTGGTAAGGAGCTCCACTGCCATCCCAAAGGCATGTGGTTCAAATCCACAAGCTGCTCTGCTGGCAAAAGATGGACAATACTTTCTCTTGTGATTAAACTGTCTCTGAAAACACAGTAGAGGGTCTGCTATGGGTTGATTCCATCTGGATGATACACAACAACACTACTATTGTTATTTTTTTAAATGCGTATAACAAAGTGAGTACTTAATTTAATTTTGTGTTTGTCTTTTAGTACTTCGTGTACATTTAATTTCTCCATTTATTTACATAAGCTTTCTTCCACCCTCCAGGACAGGACAGACAACAATGGCAGGGATCTTAACCAAAAAGGAAAAACAAAAGATCATACATGGAGAAAATTATTAATAAGTAAAGATGAAACCAAAGCTCAGAGACTAAGTCCAAAGAAAACATTAATAGAGGCTTACAATATAGCTGGATTGACTACTGATGAAAGCTGTGTCAGGATTGAAAAGAAAAGCATCTGTATTGGAGGAGGGGT